AAATACATAACACACACACACACACACACACACACACACACAGACAATAGCGGCCAAAACAGCCAGCAGATATATCAACAGAAAATTTATTTTCACCCCATCATCCCCAATGATCTCATTTGATACAAAAGAGCAATAAATTTTCTCATTAAAGCCGCAAAAATACAAAGTTCGAATCTACAGTATAATTTCAGAAAAAAAAATTCTTTATTTCTTATTTCTTTTTTTTTTTTTTTTTCTAATAAAAACATAAAAATTCTTCTTCATCTTCTTCTTTTACAGCATATCATTTTCTTCATCTATGAATAAATAAAACAAATGGATTTGGCTGCAACGGCCAAAAACAAAGTAACACTAAAATTTGAATGAATGCAATTACTGTCAGATGTCAATAACAGACAACAATTCCACTTCGCCAGAAACTTGTCAGACTGTGAATCCATATTCTGCCCCGTTTGGTATCTACAACAACCAATCTTCTTTCATTTTTCTCTGCTTTCTCAACAACTATCCAGATAACTGACAGTATATCAGCATTGAATTAGCCGCCCACAATTGCTGAGTAGTTAAGGGAGACGCTGAATTTCAAAACCAGCCAATATGAGAAAATTTTGATATTAGCCAGCTGTAAAGACTTCCAGTAAACCTGAGCAAAATTAATATTGTCAGCAAAAAATGATACTGTCCAATTAACAAAAGCAGCTCCAGCAAATAGAGCCCTAGTTCTTTGGCTGAGTCCACATTTTTCCATTGCAGAATGCTGGAACAGCCGTGGTTTTCTGCTAATAGTATCTCTAATTGTGATAGTTAACTATAGATTGCAGCTTAAATCAGCAAACAAACGCAAAACTTTTGCCTTAAGTTTCTGTTCAGTTTCTGCTCTAAGCTGTTCCGTTCAGTTATTTATGAAGATGCTTTGGTAGCAGACAGCTTCAGAAAATTGCCGATTTTTAAGCGGCAAACAGCAAAAAAGCTTCTGTAATTTTACATTCGCTATGGAAATCTCTAAATTATGACAAAAGAAAGTACATAGTTCAAAAAAGCTCCACTCTTAACAAACGCGCAATTACACAATTTGTTTTTATGTTTTAAAGAGTTGTAGATCATTGACAAAGTGATAGAAATACAAATTGTCCGACCCTCATTATCATTCAGAAAACAAATGAAGGTGCGCGGAGAAGTACCGGACAATGTGAACCATCAATTAAGCCGCCAGATTTGAAATTCGAATCCGATCCAAACGTGTAATGCTTCGAATTGTGCAGGGGAGCAGTATGCTAGTTTGAAATACCAAAAAGCGAGTAAATATCATCTTCACTGCCTTCTCTAGCAATTTAGAAATCAGCATAAGGTGTTTCCAAAAACTTGGCAACCCTTCATATCCTCATCAAAACAGTGAACTAAGTTTATTCTTTAAAATTTACCGGTTGATCAACGTAAACTGTGGTTAGAAGTATGAGTATCTCTGTTCCAAAAAGGGCTCTGGCTAAAAATTTTTCCAAACTTCAACAGCAGACAGAATAGAAACTTTACTTGCAGGTCAAAAGATTTGTCAATCTACTGTTTTTTGTTTCTAATGTACCGTTTTATCAATTTTACAAAAAACAGAGCAGAAAAATAAATTACGACTTGGAATATGAAAATTTGTATTGACAATTAAAGATCTTCACCAGATCGCTAAAAAAATCATAAGTACAATTCACCATAGCCGTAAAAGAGTCCCGTTACTGCTGATTATGTATTTCAGAAAGCAGTACAACGTCTTCCCTGATTAAGACTTAAAATACCAAGCAAGAAATACCATAATTCTTGGTTGTGTGTTCTGATTTCCTTCCTTTTGATACTGACAAATTAGTGTTCCGGACAAGAAGAACTAACCATTCTCTATCAAAATAAAATTTTTTAGGTATTTTAGTTAGGTGAAAAAAACAACTGAAGGAAAAAACAGAAATTTTTAACCCAAAAATTAGAAAATGATAATTTGTTTGCCTGCTGAGTCGTATGAGCTGCAGTATTTCCGCACTTTACAAATGAACCATTTATTTATCATTTAATGCGCATTTTTACACTCAACAAATAATCAAACAACAATGCATTTTCATAATAATTCAGCTTTATACAGTACAATACAACCTCGGTAAAGTTGAATCTTTCTGTTTTTTTTTAACCACGCTGTAAGAGTGAACACAACAAAAACAACTAGTGCCGGCAATCGTCAAAAATGACTACTGCCTATCCTTTAGCAAAGCAGACAATAACCCATTGTGAGGATTTATAATTACAGGTAACTTGTTGTTAAGTAGAAAATACAACAGCAAACAGAATTGAAAGCAAAAATTCAACTTAGCAAGTTAAACAAAAATTATTTTCTAGAATACGCCGCGTTTTTATAAATAGTTGCCTTTTCAAACATTTGTTTCTCATCCTCTCCACAAACAACAAATCAACAAATTTCAAAAAACCATATTTGCAAAAAATATTTGCTAAACTGAAAACTGATGTTCAGCAGAATGGCCTTTCACAACTCGTTGAAAAAGAAATAAATCTGTAAAAAATAACAACAATGATAAAAGTAACACCAAATAAAAAAATTATTTTCTAACTTTGAAACTCAACTCAACTGTGTAATTTCCCCTGTTAAATAATCATTACAATTTCGAGACTCTGCTATAGCTACAGAAACTTCTCAGCGACTATTATTTTCTTGATGAAACCACAGATCTCCAACTTACTATAAAACTTTACGCTCAAAAATTACTGTACTCACTGCAGGCATACAGCATAACTTCCCATCAAAAAAGCATCAACGAGAAAATAGATCGTAATATTTTAATGACGCATACACATCTGCATTTCTGATTCATGTGCCAGTAGCTGGTGAGGATCATTCAAAACTGAACTTCAAACACTGCTTCCTCAGCCACATGACAGCGACAACTTTGTCGCTACGAATCCCAATAGACTTCAGTTCTACAATACTACAAACCTTATTTGATAATATATAGATGTGATAACTTCACCTAGTAAAAAATTGAAAAAGTCAAAACCATAACTCCATGGAAGTGCTGACTTTTTCAGAATTTTGACGTCACCTACGCAGTTGACCACTTAAACCAAAGAACTCAAATGAAACAGTCAAACTACAAAAATTAAAGACATCAAAAACTTTACGCCAAAGTGAAGTGAATCGCTTTTAAAAGACTATTAAGCCTATATTCTTTGTCCCCAAATAATTGTTTTGCACAAAAAACTTTCAGTGTTTAACACTTAGTAACCAAAACATCAGCTTTAAATAAGCATCTTGTACCATCTTTTCTACATCAAACCCAAGTCTGACTTGGAACGGTGAAAACAACTTCAAACCAACGATTAAAAGTGCTAGACGACCCAGCAGCATTGTTACCACAGATACTTCAGAAAAAAAAAAAAAAAATCCCATCTTTCCTAAGACTTGGCAGAATGTAGCGATGAAGCTGCTAGTGATAGCCAACCAACAGTATCAAGTGGTTAAAAATTTTTGATGACATCATAAGCTCTTTAGAATTCTTTTTCATACTACTATTACAACTACTACAAAAGTTGACCTTCCAATGTCAAAAATACCCTTTACTAATACAATTTCTACGTGTAATACCGAAGACTCAGTAGCAGACGATCACCTAAAAAGTCTTGCCTTTAAAAAGAAACTAATTCTCAGTTTCCAAATACTGCAAGATGATGCCATCCCTAAAAACTGTCCAGACGTCCAAAATGGAAAGCTAAAAACCATCGAATGTCTCAAAACGAGCGCCTGCTTCCACCTCATAAATGCTTCAAAAGAAACTAGCCGTGTTCCAAACTTTGATGCAACAGGTGCAAAAAAACTTGAAAAAATTAGAAGAAACTCTTCACTACTGCTGCTTCTAATCTGCCACCGCAGGGTGACAACAGTTGACCGACAACTATCAGTTTCATATTCAGTCGTACCATTTTAGTCATCCATACTCAAAATTAAACTGCTCCTCAGCAAAAAACAAATATATTAGCAACGACTATAACAAACTTTTTAACTGAAAATGCAGCAGAAAACAAAGTCTGTCAAACTTAATACAGATATACAGCACGCAAGCAGGAAAATCGGTAAAGTATAACTCCAGTCGACAATCAGCGCATAGTCCCAACACAGAATTGTGAAAACCTGAATGTCATAAAACGGGAAAAAAACACAACCGCTGATTTTCAGGAGGAATTACTTTATTAAAGATATTTTTTTACACAAGGACTGGGATAAGAATTCAGGCCCTAGGCAGAAATAAAAAATGAAAAAGCTATTTGAAACAAATACAACCTCAGACACAAAAAAATTAATCCTGAACTGACAATGTTAACATATATACAAGCATAGTCTGGGAATCCACATCACCGATGTGGACAAGTATTAATATATCACAACAGAAAGTGAACTCGTTTATTCTACAGTTGGCATATCATGAACCCTGCTGCGAAATCCCTTATTAAACGTGCCTTTGCCTAAAAACCAGACAAAAAGACATTGCTCGCTGAAACACTCAAACTGTTTCAAAATCCTCTCTGACAGATAAAACTGTAGGGCAGCAAATTAAGTTACCTGTGTTTATCAGCCTCCTTTACTGTACTTCTAGAACTCCTTTCAGGACTTCTACAATGCTTTTTGCTTGAACTGCTTTCGGCATCCTTCAACGGAGTTCTGCGTTTCGTACTTTTCCTACTTTCAGATTTTCTTAATTCCTCCTTTGTCTTAGAGCTTTTTAGCTCCTTCTGATCTCTTGAGCTTCTTGAACCTTTAGAAGAACCGGGGGCGTCACGTCCTCTTTCCCTCTCTGGAAGTCGAGGGTAATCTCTCCTCTTTGAATAACCTCCAAAGCGTTCACTTCCCCCATGGATTTCATCCAAAAGTCTTAAAAAAATTGATTACAACGAAACGAAAAAAGCTAGCTATAAAATCACCTAGTCGGTCTTCGAGGTGACTGTCTTGAAGAAAGTCTAGAAAATCCATCCAGCAGTGAAGGGATATGAGACCGTTCACGATGATGGTAGGATATACGTCCAGCTAACGGCACATTTACTGCATCATACAAGAGTGAATGTGGACTCTGCAACATATCTGGACTTTATTTGAAATTAAAGAAGGAACTGTAAAAGAAGATGCGGCGAAAATAAACCACAAATTCCTGATTTCTACAAATTTTTAATAATCCACG